GCTGGCAGCCGGCAGCTGCTAGGGACCCTACCCATGCACGAATTTCATATACTGGGCCTCTAGTATTCACAATGTGAAACTTAGTCTAAGGTCAAGGAATTTTCCAAGAATCACAGAGCCTGGGGTTTGGAGCCAGGCAGCCTGTCCCAGGCCCTGTGATCTTTCCCTTATAGTATGCTGCAGCCAGCTGGCCTGCCCACTCAGGCTTGGTGGGACACTGAGATCTCTGAATTGGGTCTGAGAGATGCTTTGGTGCTGGTGGCTCTTTCTGACCTGGTCCTAGGGAGAGGGAGGTCTGTGACACCTAAGCTGTTCAGATTAGACCAGGCACCAAACTCTGCATCCTGGGGAATGCCAGATCAGCCACTGTTGGCTGGTCCCATGGGCAAATCCAGTCTGCAGCTGTGCACTGACCCCTGCCTTACGTCTTTCCTAAGAAAGGACTTTTCTTGGAAAAGGGCCTCAGAAGAGCCAATAAAAAGTCGGTAGGGAAATTATCATTTAATGGGAACTGAATTTTAATTTGGGATGAAGAAAGAGTTCTGGAGAGGGATGGTGGACATGGTTGCACAATAATGTGAATACTTAATTATTAAAAAATAGCTAAAACAGTAAATTTTATGATATATATATATATGTATGTATACACACACACACACACACACACACACACACACACACACACATATATATATATATATATATATATATATAACCACAATTAAAACTCGGGAAGAAAGAAAGAAAGAAAGAAAGAAAGAAAGAAAGAAAGAAAGAAAGAAAGAAAGAAAGAAAGAGAAGAGAAGAGAAGAGAGAGAGCAATTTGCAGCAGTCACTCTGGAGTGGAGGACTGACATTTTGCTGAGCCCCAGCTGAGAGCTGGCGTGTGCTAGGAATTCATAGAACTTTGTAAACCTTACAGTGACAACATCCAGTGGGCCCGATAAGTGATTTCCTAGCAGGATAGATGGAGACCAGAGTTGAAGTGGTTTTATTAAGATTACTTAAGAAAGTGGGAAGCAGGTCTTTCTGAACTTAATTTGCTATAGGTGTCCAGGTCTAAAGGAAAGCTGGAAAAATTGAAGCAAAACAGTTTGAGTTTTGGGTTTTGCTCAGAGGGCTTTTTAAAATGGTACAAAAGTCCTGGAAAGTTTCATTTTGTTGCTTTTATGTCTCTTCCTGGGGTCCTCACCCTTCTTGAATGGAGGAGCAGTCATTGCTGGCAGCACGTGGCCCGTGGCCCCCCAAGGAGAGGGGGGCCCAGTGGAAATCTCCACTTGCCAGCTTTGGTGCCCAGATATAGGTCTGGAAGTGCCGTTTTGTTGTGGCTGTCCCCAGAGTGGCTGTTCCTGAGCTGCCTGAGTGACAGCCGGATGTGCCGCTGGGTGCGGTCCCCTTCAGACAGTCCATATCCACTGCCACCCGGGGTGCTTCAGGCCAAGATAAGCAAGCTCCTCGCCAGACTCCCCCTCCCACTCCCCGCCCAGCAAGCCTGGGCCCCCGAGCAGCCTCACCTGCCTGCAGCTTGCACTGGAGCCCGGCCATACTCCTGCCATCATTCTCATTCTGATTCTGTCTTTTCCTTCCCCCTTATCTTTGCCCTTCTTGATTTCAAACTCGAATAGAAAACTTTTTGTTCTTGCCAGTGGAAATTCCCTCGTCCTCTCCCATTCGTCCACCTTCCAGTCGTGTTTCCTCAGGTTCGAGGCATGTCCTGGCATTCAGGGTTTTTCCACCCGGCAGCCCTCTGTGGAGACCGCAGCCTGGCCTCCACGAGGAGCCCACAGGTATCCCCGCGTCCCCTCAGCCACCTGTGCCAGCCTCTGGGCTACCCAGACAGCATCATCGTCCTCAGGCTTTTAGGCTTTGACCGTGCCTGGTTGTACCTGGTTCGTCCATCATGAGCTGACTTGATTTATTTTATTTTGTGTGCAGTATACCCTCTGAAATAAAAAATGATCTAGAGGCAGCACCAGACTGGGTGGGGGTAGGGGTAGGGGGGAGCATGTGGAAATCAACATTGAAAATGAAATTATGTGGGGAGCTTACAGTAGTGTCTTTAAGTTTTTTATTTCTTAATTTATTTTATTTTTTAAAAATGATTTTTATCTTATTTTTAAAGCTTTATTTTTCAGCAGGTTAACCAGGAAGGAAAAATGAGCATCTTATTTCTCAGATTTCTATTAAGTTCTTTCTTGGGCACAGAGTTCATTCAGGTCCTTGTGCTTAAACAAACAAACAAACAAACAAACAAACCAAAAGAAAAAAAAAATCATGTTTAATAAAAGTAATACAACCTATACTTTAAATCTAGAACATTTTAAAGAAAAAGATTAAAAGTCAGATAATCCCTCCATGTAGACATAATTTGTTAGCATGTGGGTGTGTGTTTTCATATATACATAAACTTGTGCTGTCTTTTTTAAAAAACAAAGTGGAGCCCTACTCAGTTTGGCTCAGTGGATAGAGCGTCGGCCTGCGGACTCGGGGTTCCCGGGTTCCATTCCGGTCAAAGGCATGTACCTTGGTTGTGGGCACATCCCCAGTGGGTGGTGTACAGGAGGTGGCTAATTGTTGTTTCTCTCTCATCGATGTTTCTAACTCTCTCCCTCTCCCTTCCTCTCTGTAAAACAGCAATAAAATACATTAAAAAACAAAATTAAAAAAAAAATAACAAAAACAACGTGGAGATCTTGCTATTCCTTTTGTCTCCCGCATATTATACTGAAAGCATTTGGGCGTTTCCCCATGCCAGTAAATGAAGCTCAAAAGCATCCCTTGGATAGGCCCTGGATTGCTGAGCCCTCCCCTCTGGGGGAGTACACTCACAGCGTTGCGCTATTGTAACTAACATCCCTGCACTCAAATCCTGGGACCTCATCTGTGATTACTTCCTTGGGAGGGAATCCTAGAAGTAGTCTTCGGTATGAAATTTTGCATTTCTTTCGTGTGCATAAGAAATTGTTTTCTAAGATGACTTGTACTAAAATAGACATTCCTTCGGCAGAGAAAGAATGTCCATTTTTTCTTTAGCATTTTGTGTTTAGAATCACCGGTAGTTTGTGAAGTGAAAAGTGGTCCCTCACTGGTCTCATATGTGAAATCAATTATTAGTGAGGTTCCATTCTTTCACTGTCTATTGGCCAGTTGTATTTCTTTCATCCGTTTGTTCACTTCCTTTGGCAGCTGGTCAACGAGGTGTTAGCATTTTCCTTGTACGTCTGGGAGAGCTCCTATGGCAGGAACCCTTTGTCACAATTACAGGCATTTTCTCCACCAGCTTGATTGCCCTGATGATTTGTATGCATGAATTTCTGTGTTTATATGTGCACAAGCTTTTTATTTTCAGATAGACAGATCTATGTTTATGTGTGTTGTTTTGTTTTTGTTAATTCTGACCTGAGGATATTTTCCCATTGACTTTTAGAGAATGGAAGAAAGGGAGGGATGGAGGGAGGGAAGGACGGAGGGAAGGAGGAAAGAGAGAGGGAGGAAGGGAAAAAGGGAGGAAGGGAGGGAGGGAAAGAGGGAAGAAAGGAGGGAGAAACATTGATATGAGAGACACATCAATTGGTTGCCTCCTGTATATGCCCCAACCAGGGCCGAGAATTGAATCTGTAAACCAGATACATGTCCTTTACTGGGAATCGAACCCTCAACCTTTTGGTGTGAGGCTGACACTCTACTTAGCAACTCTAGCCAGGGCAGATCCGTGCTTATTTTTTTTACTTTTATGCCTATTACAAGTATTTGTGGTTTTCTTCTAAGTTTGGGGAGGGGGGGATAAACTAGTTAAACTCTGTAATCCACCTGAAGCTTGTTTTGGTGAAAAGTATGAGTGATATTCTATATTTGTTCCCAAAAGATGCCTTTCCCAGCTCAGTCTCTTGAAATAGGATTCATTTCCTCACTGACCTGTAATACAGTTCTCGTATGTTGGAGCCCTCTTATCATTTTTGACTGTCAGACACTGCTTGGAGTAAAGCAGCTTTGAGCCCTCCTTATGGCCCTTTTCCAAGACAATTTCATTCAAAATTAAGAGTCACTTTGTGTTGGTAAAAAGGGAAGAATTTCCTCTGGGAATCAATTCAGTGAAAGACAGTGGGACTTTAACAAGTGGAATGAGTATAAGTAAGGATGCATTTCCCAAAATAAGACTGCACCGTTGTGAGAATTCAGTCAGGCATTGCACCACGTCTGTGCACCAGCTGAAGAATCCACAGGACAGTAAGTTGTTAGAAAGGGCTCCAGGCTCCTGCAGTGAAAGAATGGTGCTGTTTCCAATCCAGAGGCATCCTCTGGTTCTCAGATGCTGCCGCTTCCTGGCTTATTTGTCTTTTATTAGGGTCACTGCTCCGTGTTCCGAAAATGGAGCAGGTCCACGAGGGCTCCTCTGCCCTTTCCTATCTGCGTGGGAACCTCTGACCCCAGGTGGGCACACAGTGTCTGCCCAGCTGTGCGATGACCAGGGGTTTCCTGGGGCTCCACAAATGTTCTTCATGAGTTTTACAATCTGTGACACATTTTATGCCCAACAATCAAGATTTGAATCAGCTGAGTGTTGCAGAGCTTATTTTATGTATTTGTTCTTTGTAGGATTTTATTTTGCCCGTTGCTGAAATGTTTACAAAGTCCTGATCTAGATAGTCTAAGGTCTTAGAGTTGTAAAATAATAGAGTTTAATACTCTATGTAGTGTCGGGGTGTCAAATACTGTACTCCTATAGGATCCAATGTTTTCTCTCCTCACCCCGCAGCCCCTTTTCTTCCTTCCTTCCTTCCTTCCTTCCTTCCTTCCTTCCTTCCTTCCTTCCTTCCTTCCTTCCTTCCTTCCTTCCTTCCTTTCTTTCTTTCTTTTATTTTGTTTGTTTGCTTTATTTCCCTGGCTGCCTGGTGGCTTTGGACATGCTCAGGATTGTGTCCAAGTGTGACTCCTCACTCATTCCTCTTTGTATCACCAGGAGTAGTCCATGGTTGTGAGCTGTGTTCTTTCTGTCTCAGGCAGGGAACGTGGTGACAGGGGAGATGGTGGAAGAGCTGATTCTTTCCGGAGCAGATATAATCAAAGTGGGAGTTGGACCAGGTAAGGCTTGCCGGGAGAACAGCAGATGGGGTGTGTGGGGGAGGAATGGGGTCTGGGGCTTACAGGGGCTGGAGATGGCCAGAAGGGAGCCCCTGAGTGAACCACCCACACGTTAAGTACATTTCTTTTGAATCTCATTGAGCTCCCACAGAAGCTCTTCATTAGAAACATCATTGAGTTGCCATCTGATGCCCCCGGGTAACTTGTCAAGGAGCGGGGATGGGTTAGGATGTGAGGTCCAAGTTTTAGGGTGTTGCTGTGGAAGAGAAAGATGCAGATTTCGTCCATGACCATCTCTACTGGGAAGAGGAAGATGAGGGGTGAAGAATCCCTGGGACAGTTCACGGGCATGAATAACTCAGGTTTCTGTGAGTGTTTGAAGGATCCCAAACACTGCAAATAGCACGCAGCTGTGAGGCCATATTGAGCGTGACCCGTGTGTTACCCAGGCAGGCTTTCTTTGGCTTCTCAGTTGATACATATCCATATCAGACTTGTCCAGTTCTTCATGGCTTTCTCTCCTAGGACTGCTCATTGGTATCTTGAGTTGGGGGACAAGGCGGAACATTTCTGTTCTTATACTTGTGGCTCCATTTTCTCTCTGGGCCAGTTGGCATTCGCTGACCCCTTTAACCATACCTGAACTGAGCTCCCATGCTTTTAAATTCTTCCTTCACATTTATTATTAACCAGACACTAACATGGGAACCAAGGAAAGAAGATACACATTTTTAGTTGGGAATAAAAACAGCAAAGACTTAAAAAAAATATTGCCTGGCCAGTGTAGTTTAGTAGTTGAGCATTGACCTATGAGCCAAGATTTCATGGGTTTAATTCCTGATTGTGGGCTCGATCCCCACCCAGCAGGGGGCATGCAGGAGGCAGCCAATCAATGTTTCTCTCTCATTGATGTTTCCATCTCTCTCTTCTACTCTTTTCCTCTCTCTCTAAAAATAAATAAAAACAGTTTTAAAAAATAGTGCCTACCCCAGAAAGCATTACCAGGAAAGGAAGCCTTTCATGGTCAAAGGTACATGCCTTTGACCATGAATTGAACCCTCAACAGCCTTGATCCACCAGCTGACATTCTAACCACTTAGCAACATTAGCCATGGCGGTTTTGCTCCATTTTTTGTTTTTATCATGAATAGATGTTAGATTTTGTTAAATGTTCTTTCAGCATTTACTGATATGATTTTTCTTTTCTTTTTTCATGCTATAATTTCATTTTGTTTTGTTTTTATTGTTTACAGTATTACAGGAGAAGGGTGTGGGCAGGTGCTGCTGGGGGAAGACACTGTTGGGCTGTGATGTGCTCACTGAGCCTTGAGGGAAAAGGAGAGCTGCGAGGGACTGTGATGGGAGAGCCCCTGAGCCGTTAACAGGGGAGATAGTCAAGATTGGGCTTTTTGTATTGCCAATCACCTAGGCCATGGTTGGCAAACTGCAGCTCTCAAGCCACACGCTGCTCTTTGGCCCTTTGCGTGTGGCTCTTCCACAAAATACCACGGCCTGGGCGAGTCTATTTTGAAGAAATAGCATTAGAAGAAGTTTAAGTTTAAAAAATGTGGCTCTCAAAAGAAATTTCATTCATGTACTGTTGATATTTGGCTCTGTTGACTAATGAGTTTGCCGACCATTGGGCTAAGCCAATTTGTAACACACTCTGATCCAGTGGTCGCCAACCTTCCGGACCTCATGGCCCACCGGTGGGTCCTAGGACCACCGGTGGCGACTGCTGCTCTGAGCAACAGAAAGACAACTCTGTTCTTTACTGGGTGTCTGTCATTGTTGAAAGTAAAAAAGGATAAGGCCCAGCTCTTGCTTACAAGGAGCTCCCTTATAGGACGAGCTGCAATGGACCAGGCTTGTAATGGAACAGAACAGGCTGGACGCAGACCTGGAGGACTGTTGTTCCCAAGGCAGGGAGCGCACCGGGGACCCGTTTAATCAGAAACACATGCAGGGTATCTTGTGGCTGCCGCTGTGCGGGTGGGTGCTGCATGCACATGGGGGTGCAGAGCATTCTTGGTTCGCGAGGAGCTGTTCTCGATGTGATCTCAAGCACTCAGCTGTGTGCAGTGTCCTCATGCGTGTCCTCTGTGTGTTTCCCTGAAGACTTACTGTCCTCCCACAGGCACCGTGTGACCTCCAGGCTGTCTGTCTGGAACAGACGTGACTGAGCAGGATCCAAGGCTCCTTTGGAGCCTGCTATATTGGGGCTGCTTCTTTAATTTAATTGGAGATTATATTGACATTTCACAGATTCTTTTGAGTAAAAACACTGAGTAATGTCTGTGTAAATGACAGCCTTAAACAAGGTCCGTTAGTGAGGAACTCCCAGGAGCTGGGAGAAAGCATTAAAATCGGGCACCCCTGCTGCTAGGACTGGGAGAAATGAGGGCCCAGTCCCTCGCTTTACCCTGGGGGCTCATCAGGTTCACGCCTACCCTGGTCCTGAGAGGAGGCTGCCTGCCTCCCGTGGGCCATGGATCCGAGCGGACCCCGGGCTGGACTCACAGAATGTGGGCAGTGTCATCCTCAGAGTAGACTGGGAAATAGAAACGAAGTGAGCAAAGCAGATCTTTCAAACATGTTACGTTTACTGCTCTGATTGGTAGAAGACTGTAAGAGGCCTACTAGGAGCTACTTGGAAATGTCTACAATCAAAAAGTACAACTCTAACCTTAAATAAATTAAAATAATTTCACATGAAAGATTTTAATATTTAAAAGAAGACCCCTCCCTTCCCTCCCCTCCCTCCCCTCCCCTGTGCGGAGCTCCAGGCCTCTGCACCCAGGCCCCTGCTTCCCTTGAGGAGCTAGCAGTTGAGGGGAGAGCAGGCGAAAGCCAGTCCCGGCCCAGAGCCAGAGATTAGAAGCTGTACCTGTGCCTCACACAGTGCACGCACGGGCGGCGGGCGGGAGAGACACTGGTGGGCTCCAGGACTGTGAGTGTTCTTGTGAGGGATGGATGTAGAGAGATGGGTCTCGGCCTGCAGCTGCAGAGATGCAGGAGAAGGGGGTCCCCCATCCTGTTTTCTTGGGGAAGCCAGGCCTGGGAGTATGGCCATGGTTCTCTATCTGACCCTGTTCTAAGGATGCCTGGGAGACATCTATGGGAAGCTGTGAAGCTGCTGGGGGGTGGGGGGAGGAGCAGGAGAGGAGGCCGGGGCTCTGAGCACCTCACCCCCAGCGCTGGCGGGCAGTGGAGGGGTTCAGGGCACTCCGTTGTTGACACCAAGGGGCCTCCAGCAGGAACTGGCTGAGTGTGAAGCAGTGGCAACAGAGATATGGTGACTAATCCATTATTGAGCTCTCAGATTCTTTCTGTGACTATTTATAGCTCTGTAGGCCCAGGCTCCATTCTCAATGCTCTACAGGAGTGATCATCCCTGCAGCCGCTATACCACCCAGCAGAGAAAAATGGTCCTTGGTTCTGACACAAATAATAATTATTTAAGTGCCTCTATTTTTAATGAATGCAGTGAGAACAGCTTCCCTGAGGCAGTGACATTTAAGATGAAGCCTGGAAGATGAGAAAGGGTTGGCAAGGCTGGGAGGGGGGAGAAGGGGCGTGCAGAGGGGAATGTTTGGACAGAGAACACCATGTACAGAGAATCCCGAGGTGGGAAGAAACTGGCTGTACAGGAGGAACTGGAAGGTCAGAGTGGCTGGAGTGTGGGCAGCGGGAGGGGAGACGTTTAGGGTTTGATTGCGTGGTCTTGGAGCAGGTGCACACTTGCTGGGAGGCAGGGTGGGTGTGGAGAAACAGGCATTTGTGGGAGCCTCTGGTGTGATTTGTCTTGGACCTAACTGGATAACGGGGATGGTGGGCCAGGACTGGCCTTGGCCATGGGAAAGACAGAGGTTAAGAGGATGAAGGCATTTAGGTGGCTGGTATGGATCCTGAGGGGAGGCTGACCTCAGAACCCAGGCTGGATGCAGATTCAGACAGGGTTGGAGAGGGACTGTGAGATCATGGAGAACAGCAGGCTGGCATGTAGAGGACAGACTCGGGTGAGAGTGGGGGTGAGGGGGCAGGAGCAGAGTTAGTGCCAGGTCCTGGGCCAAATGATTTTATTCCCTATGCCATTTAATTTCTACCCTGTGAGGCCAGTGTTTTAATTTCCATGTCACAGGTGAGGCACTGAGGCCTGGAGAAGTTAGTAATTTGACAAACATTGAAGGTAAAGAGGCTGGAGGCTGTGGGAAGAATCTAGGAGGTCCCTTGAAATGTAGTGTGGTTGTGTGAGAAAGGGAAGGACAGTGGAAAGGGGTGGGAGTTTAAGTGTGGAGAGTCAGTGCGTGGCCAGTCAGGGGAGCTGATGTCATAGGGGAAAGTGAGGGTGGCAGGCTGTGGGGTGGGTTATGTTTGAGATGTGAGCCAGTGACAGCTGTGAGGGCCTGAAGGGCTGCATGGCCATATAATGTGCTTTTAACCACTCTGTCAAGTTGCTGGGCAGTCCCTCCCTCGTGCCTCTCCTCTGCCATGTGACAGTGATGGAGGCTCACTTTGTGTTCTATTCTGCTCATGCATGAACCCTCTCTCTCCTCCACCCAGGTTCCGTGTGCACCACCCGCACCAAGACCGGGGTGGGCTACCCCCAGCTGAGTGCCGTGATTGAATGCGCAGACTCTGCCCACGGCCTGAAGGGGCACATCATCTCTGTAAGTCTCCAAGCCGGGCTGAGGGTCAGGTGGGGGAACACCTCAGGAGTGCAGGCCCTGAGGCAGCCCTGCTTCCAGCTGCCACTCACCCAGCAGCATCCTGTGGGCCTGGGAGTGAGCAGCCTGCGGTCATAGCTCACTCAGTGAGCATGGCAGGCACCTTACTTAGTAAGAATTCTAGTCGTAACAACTCAGGGTGGCAGGTAGCATGGTGGCAGGTTGGTGAGGAGCTTTGAGGAAGGGAGAAGGCCATCCCAGATGGGGTATAAAACAAGAGACATGTGTTGTCTCACAGCCTGGAGGCCAAATTCTGAGATGAAGGTGCTGGCAGGGCCATGGCCACTCTAATTCTAGGAAGGCTCTGTTCCAGGCCTCTCAAGCTTCTAATAGTTCCCTGGCTTATGGCACCATAATTGCAGTTTTCATATAGTGCCCTCCTGTGTGCATGTCTGTCTTTGTGTCCAAATTTCTCCTTCTTATAAGAACATCAGTCCTCGGATTGGAGGCAGGATGACCTCACTTCAGCTGGTCACATCTCAGCGGTGCGGGTGTGCCAGTGCGTCAGCGGGTGCCGGGGTGAGCAGGTGCAGTGGCGTGTTGGGGGCAGCAGTCAGATTTTTGTGATTTGACGTGTATGGGGAGGAGGTGAGGAAAGGCAGGTCTCATCCGCTAGCGCCAGGGAACAAGCAGACTTGTCAGCGAGGGGAGGTGTGGCCTGGTGCTCCGAGGTTCTTCACTTTCCATTAACATGAGGGATTTCCTAGAAGGGGTTAGAAGTTCGTTTTGAGCAAATGAAGTCCACAGACTTATGTGGATCTGTACTCTTGACTTCAGCTCATTCCTTCTGACCAGCTGAGTGTCTTAGGGTTCAGAGATGCCTTTTTACCCACCCTCCCTTTGACCAATGGAGTTTCACAAGTAGTTTTCTCCCACTTGCTGGCTGTCCTAACCCCGCTGGAAACCCATCAGATGTTTTGGATTCTGCCACTTTGTCCAGGTGCCTTCCAGCTGTCTCATTTCCCCCCTTAGTTGCTGAGTTAGCACATCCACGCCGGCGACATTCAGAAAGAAGCCACAACATGGTCTGTTCAGCAGGTGCTTACACCCAAGCGGCTGGACTTGAATCAGGTTTCTATTTATTGTGCTCTGAGAGGCAGAGAGCTAAAAAATTTAGGAACATCCCCCACCCCCTGCCCAATATAGGTGAGGATGAAGGTGTGACCAGTTAATTTGCTCTTGTCATCTGCTAAAGACATCACACAAAGGAGAGGATTTTAAACAACTTTGGAGGAAGTAATGGCTGTCACTTACTGAGCATCTACAATATGCCAGACAAAACATACATATAATCTTTAATCCTTGGAACAACCTGTGGGTAGCTATTATCTTTTGATAGGTGTATTAGTCAGGGTTTTCTAGAGAAACATCCAGTAGAGAAGAGAGAGAGAGAGAGAGAGAGAGAGAGAGAGAGAGAGAGAGAGAGAGAGAGTGTGTGTGTGTGTGTGTCTAGAGAGAGAGAGCTTTATTGGAGGGAACTGGTTCATGTGCTTATGGAGGGTGAAAAGTGCCAAGATCTGCAGGATGACTCAGCAAGCTAGAGAAAGCTGATGGTGGAGTTCAGTCTGGGTCTGCAGGCCTGAGAACCTGGAAGAGCCAGCATTTCACTTGGAACCAGAAGGAGGAAAAAGCTCATTTCCCAATTCAAAGGCAGTCAATTAGGAAAAGTTCTCTTGGCATTGAATCGTAAATCAGCAAATGAGAAACAAGACGCCTTAATGAGCCAATTAATTAGGAGCCATTTATTGTGTGAGGCTCAGAAGGAGGTATCTCTTCCAAATCTCTGAGCCACACATACAGGAAGTCTCCCATGTTTATACTTTTCAAGACTCTTTGTTTTCAGATATTACAAAGGGCTCTGTGTGAGTTATTGTTACAGACAGTTGTAACCTTGAATACATAATGAGTTAGTGCTTGGCATAAAGATATGGGAATTACTATCCGTGTTAGTCTATATTAGTCTATTACATTGGATGACTAGCTTGCAAGGTCAGACAGTTAAGTTTATTTATTTTTTTTTATTATTGGAACTAAAAGTCATTTTATAGAAATAAGAAGAGACTGTCTTAAAGTGACATAGTTTATATTGACAGTTTATGGGACAAAGGATTATCTAACAATATCAGAGAATTTCAAACAGCAGTTTTCTTTTATTCAAGATGGAGGTTACAATGCTTCATTGCGAAGGGTCAACTTTTTTTGTTCCATTTAAGCCTTCAACTGATTAGATGGGGCCCACCCACATTGAGAGGGCAATCTGCTTTACCCAGTCTACTTTTCAAATGTGACCCGTATCCACAAACACCCCACAGACACACGCAGGTTAACGTTTAACCAGTCAAGGTGACACATACAATTAATAATCATCCCTGGTGAGGAGACTGAGGCTTTGAGTCCTTAAGTAACTTGTTCAGCATCACACTGCTGGGAGGCGGCAGAGTCAGCACTCAGACCAAAGTCTGTTCATCTCTGGTGTTCCACTTTCCCCCCTGACCTCCCTCATTAAAAACGAGGGAGCTCCAAGAGGGTGAAGGGCTTGCTGCAGTCACAAAGAATGCAGGTTCCGCCGGGACCGGTTTGGCTCAGTGGATAGAGCGTCGGCCTGCGGACTGAAAGGTCCCGGGTTAGATTCTGGTCAAGGGCATGTACCTTGGTTGCGGGCACATCCCCAGTGGGGGGAGTGCAAGAGGCAGCTGGTTGGTGTTTCTCTCTCATCGACGTTTCTAACTCTCTGTCCCTCTCAATTCCTCTCTGTGTAAAATCAATAAAAATATATTAAAAAAAAGAAAGAAAAAGAATGCAGGTTCCACAGGATCCCGAGCCTGCTCATGTTCCCACCACATTGCTTCAGGAAACTTGTTTCACCTGTTGCACTAGAGGGCCAGTGCACAAAATTCATGCAACGGGCTCAGCCCTCGCAGCCCTGGCTTCGTCTGGAAGGTCGTCCAGAAGCACGTCCAGAAGGTCTTTTGACTATATGGTCTAATTAGCATAATATGCCTTTATTGTTATAGATACCAAGTCCTTCCCCCTCAGAGTCCTCAAGCACAGAGTCAAGAATCAGCACCCACCAGACAATTGGAAAGGGAGGGATTTATACCAACATTCCAATGGCTTGGACTTTGTAACGCTGATGGAACTAATATTGTCTCTTCTGTACTTGAGTTCAATGTGCTTATCACGGAGGTTGTGGGGGTCTGTTAATGACAGAGCGTTGGTTCATTCAAAGCAGCCCCAGCCTTCTCCTTCCCTACACCCAGGCAGTGCCCTCGTCCCTTCATTGGCCCTTGGCCAAGAAGTAAAGGTTGATCAGCAAATTTCCTATAATTTTATATATTTTATTTATTTATTAATATTTTTATTGATTTTTTTATAGAGAGGAAGAGAGAGGGATAGAGAGTTAGAAACATCGATGAGAGAGAAACATCGATCAGCTGCCTCTTGCACACCCCCTACTGGGGATGTGCTCGCAACCAAGATACATGCCCTTGACTGGAATTGAACCTAGGACTCTTCAGTCCGCAGGCTGATGCTCTATCCACTGAGCCAAACCAGTTTCGGCGCCTATAATTTTATTGATTTAATGTAGTACTTTAGGAACAGCTAGACCTTTATTTAGAAATAGCTACACAAATTATTTCAAATAATTTTTTTTAGTTTTGAAAAATTCCTCAACAAAAGTAGGTTTAGCTTAGAAAGAGTTAGAAAATGCAAATAAAAGTAAAGGAAATAAATATGACTAGGACTGCCAGCATCTTGGGCTAAACGCTGCTAATGCTTTGATAGGTATGCTTCTAGACATTTTTAGTTTTCTCTTAACCACGGTTCTAGTCTTGTTCTTCTATTATTATAGCTGTGTAACCTTGGGCAAATCATTCAACCTTTCTGAGCCTCCCTTATCTTCCCCACACTCCTCCCCGCTTACAAAATACCAACTTCAGGTTCTTGTGATTGAATAGACAAGGCAAGTTTGGAACAGTTCCTGGTTTATAGTCTGTGTTTGATTCAAATTTCTTCTGCCTACCCCATGCTTGCTTTTACTACCCCTTATTTTAGGGACAAGCAAGGCTCTTTTTTTTTTAAAAAGAAGAGGTAACCTGACAGTTCACAGATTGAACACCATTCATGTAATGTGATGCCTTTCCTATTAAAGTGTAATGCTAACACCCATGAAACACAAAACACGCAGCCCTCTGAGTACCTGCACACCCTTTTAGTGTGTGTGCTGGTGGCACATGCCCTGCACACTTCCTTTAAACCAGCTTCCAGCAGCTTTGAATGTTTCTGTATGAAAACCGATGTCTTCCTTCCATCGCCGGAGGTTGTCCCTACTGCTCTCCCTCCTGAGAACATGGAATCATGCTTTGAACAAGTTTGGGAACCATCTGAAAGTGGAGACAGGGAGCGACCGTGTGCCCTGAGGCACGGTGTGGCATTGGGGTGCACTGGGCGACGTGTCATCAGCGTGTTACTCTGCAGTGTTTATTTCACAGTGGGCACCCAGACAGAGCGGGCAGAGACTGCAGTGAGAGTGACTTCTCTCCACAGCACGTCACACGTCCTGTTCACTGCACATCCGGCCCGTCCTGGCAGCAGAGCGCGCTTGCTCAGGGTCCTGGCAGCTCAGGTCTTCTGAGGCCTCACACTGACCAAGTGACGTGGAATTTCAGGGCCCCACAGGAGACACCCCAGCAGTCATAGGCTACTTACTCACACACAAGTGAGCAAAAGGCGTCAGGGGGGTGTGAGTGAGTGAGTGTGTGTGTGTGTGTGTGTGTGTGTGTGTGTTTAAAGTCAAATATTGTTAGGGAACTATTTGTTGTTAATCCTCACTAGAGGATATTTTTTCCATTACTTTTTTCAGAGAGAGTGGATGGAGAGAAAAACGTCAAATGTGAAAGAGACACATTGACTGGTCGCCTCCGGCTTGCTCCCCAAACACGAAACCCAGTACATGCGACCCTCCCACATGCAGGCCCATGCTCTAACCACCTAGCAACATCAGCCAGGGCTGGTAGGGTCCCATTTTAACAGAAGCATGAGTTTATTATAACCACCTAGCAACATCAGCCAGGGCTGGTAGGGTCCCATTTTAACAGAAGCATAAGTTGTGATTATAGGTTTGAAACCCTATAGTGTTGTACTGATTTAGATAAAGAGGTAATGCACTTTGAAAATAACTGGCAGGACACGTGAAGGGCATATGGGTTGTACCTTTGAAAGAGCAACTCCTGCGGCGCACCCACCTTCCTGCCAATCGCAAAGCAAGGCGGTCTGGTGGCATGTGTTCTGTGTTCTTCCCAGTGCTCTTTGCCGCCCTGAGGGTGGGCCCCACCTTCCTGCAGCAGATGCTTCCCTCAGAGACCTGCTGTTTCTCTAAGACCGGCCCTGAGTTTGGGCTCTATCACTTCTCACTGACCTGAGCGCCAGCCCCGCCTGCCCCGTGCATTTGCCTCCTGGCCTCTCCCGGTGGGCCTGGCTGCTGCTTCAGACCGCCCTGCGCCCTTCCCCTTCTTGGACCCCACACAGCCACACTGCGCACAGAATAGCAGGAAGCTGGTCACATTGTGCCCTCTGTGTGTGGGGGGAAGCACAGCGGCTTTGCATCCGGGAAACGGGGTACTGGGTTGCTGGCGTTTGAACATAACCCCACCGGGCAGCCCAGGATAACAGGCTGTCCTGGGTGGGGAGGGCGAGTGTCACGAACGCATGTCTGACTAAGGTACCATAACTGGGCACATTACATGAAGGGGAATTAGAAACACGGGGGGCCTGGGAATATAAAGGACCGAACTTAGTGTCCTTTCTGGCTCTTAAAATAAGCCACCCCTTGTACTAAATAAATCTCACCTCACTCCAGGCAGGTGGGGAGAGGTGACTACTGAATGAGAGCGAACTGGGAGGGCGGATGGCTGGGCGTGCTGAGGAAGAGGCTGGAGGAGGAGGAGGAGGGAGAGGAGGAGGAGGAAAGGGGAGCCCCTCTGGTGCTCAGCAGCTTCCCAGGCAGAGGGCAGGGCTGGGGTGGACGGTGAGTGTTGGCTTTGGCTCTGAGGGTTGTGTACTTGGCTGGGGTGGGTATGGGTATCAACTCCCAGTCACCTCAGGGGAGAGGGAGGGCCTGGTGAGCTCCCACTGACACCCTTTCTGCTCTCCTCTTTGAAGGATGGAGGCTGCACGTGTCCAGGAGATGTCGCCAAAGCCTTTGGTGAGGAGAATGGAGGGTGGGGTGGTGGTGGTGGGGAGCTCTCTGCAGCTATGAGCTGGCTGAGGGGTGGGAACCTGGAAGGGAGGTTGGGGGGAATCTGGAATGAGGAGGTGGAACCTGCAGGGGTTTTTCTGAGCCAGTCCTGAGTGTCCTCTCCCTGGATTTCCGACCCAAATCCCGGCATCAGTTTCATTCTGGCTCAGCAGAGCAGGCCGAGCACCCATGGATAGATTTAGGGATGGCATCCTGCAGGCCAGGGGTGGTGAAGTCATGGCTCAGAAATCATGGCTGAGAAGGCTCAGGTCTTGTAGAAAGGACTGGAGCAGGTCCAAACAAGCAGTATCCTCAGGGAGGGTCTGTGGGGAAACCCCAGCAGGGGGCTGGCTTCTCAGAAGCAGTTTCTTACAGGAGGCTGAGGAGCCTGTTTCCCACTAGGGGGCAGCAGTGTCCTGCTGTGAGCCAGTGGGTTTTTCTCAGGAAAGCATCTCAACACACTGTGCCCACCGCTTAACCCTCAACCCGTGCAAACTTTGTGCAGAGGTCAGAGCTGCCCACACGGCTGGGTCCTCCGGAGTGTGAAGTGGGAGCCCTATGTATTGACTGGCAGGAGGCAGAAACCGAACTCCATGGCTCCACCCTCCTTTTCTGTCCTCACAGTCACATTTGTGGTGATTTTTTTGTTCTTGCTCAATGAAGGGAGACTTTTTGACATCAGGGATGCCCGTGGCTCTTCCCCTCACCAGTGTGGCCCTTCCTCCCCCATCACTGGTTCAGAGTTCACCCCATGGAATGGCTTAGGCTTGGGCACTGGCTCTCGCTTTGTTTTTAAACACTGGTAATGACAAAAGGAAGCATGGGGCAGTGTTCTCAGCAGCTGGGTTTGTAGCAACCCTGGAGAATGTCCCAGGGACAAGGCTCCAAGAGGCAAATGACAAAGTCAGGGTCCCAGCCTCGGGGCCGAGCAGGGAGAACACAGGCCTCTCGCTGTCCTGGCACATTCAGTTACCTTGATGGAAGGGCCACCGGCCAAGGACATTTTGACTTTTGACTTTTGAGCAGCCTCTTCTCCATGCTGATGGGTGGGAGCAGCATCTTCTCAATGGTGCACGTGTGTCCCTGCTCAGAGTGGGAGCTGAGTACACTTTAAGGTGCCTGGTCCCGAAGAAGGAGCCTCGTAGGTAGCAGGTCTGGGCAAGGTTCCTGGTGTCTTTCCTCGTCTGCTCTCCCTCCAGCAAGTGCTAGGGAGCGTGAGAAGAGGGACTGGATCAGGGAACGTGCTGGTGGGAAAGGCTTGGAAGGGTCAGAAATGAGGTTCATTAGAAGCCTCTTCAAAGCATCATTGAGGACCTGTGTCTGTGCTCCCGCTGTCTCCATCTACTCCCAGGCTGTGGTCATCAGGGGGCCTGGCTGACTCCTACTTTCTCAGTCACCTTATAATCATGGCACAGGGGCCACGGAGCCAGCATCTGTGTTAGGGACCCCGCAAGGAATGGCTCAAAGCTGGTTACAGGCGGGAAGCCCTATGGTGCCAGGCCAAAGGGCCTGCTGGGCAACCTGCCTGTCACAGATGCTGGCAGAAGGGACTGTAAGGCCGAGCCCCCAACCCATAACTATCTAAATAACCAGATGGAAGAGGTCACGGTCACTTTTCAGGGTTCCTATGCTTGCTCCTCCTTGTCCTTCATCCTAATGACTTAAGGCAGTGGTCAGCAAACTCAACAGTCAACAGAGCCAAATATCAACAGTACAACGATTGAAATTTCTTTTGAGAGCCATAGTTTAAACTTAAACTATCTAGGTAGGTACATTGTTATTAACTTAATTAGGGTACTACTAAGTTGGCCTTTGCTAAAAACTCAAGGAGCCAAAGAGCCACATGTGGCTCGAGAGCCACAGTTTGCTGACCACTGACGTAGTGTATCCGTCCCCTGGTGTCCTCGTGTTCTGAATGTGAACCCTTGCTAGGACTTCCTGGGCAGCGGTTGCAGCGGTTTGTAGCAGTCGGTGGAGACCCTGTCTGCACAGTTGTCCATGGACAGGGTGGGGGTGGGATGGTTTCTGTTCACATACACCCTTTTCTTCCTTCACAACCAGGCATGGGCGTCTCCCATGTGCCAGGCACTGTGACAGACCTGGGACACGGCAGTGGCCAGTCCTGCTGCTCCAGCAGCTCCTGGCCCTGTCCCAGTGCAGCCTTCAAAGGCAGCGTCAACAGTCCTGTGTCCTCTGCATCTGGCCTGGAGGCTTCATGCCATTTGGTGATTAACATGGGATATTATTTATTCTAGAAGGCAAATATCACAACAGAGGTGGGAGGTGGAGTTTTACACAATACGTGTCCATGCATACATACACACGTGCAGGTTTCTGTCCTTCATGCCATTCCGGTATAGGAGGTTCGGTCTGCTCCGAGGCCTCATGATGTACACGGTGTGAGCGTGCCAAGAGCTGAAGGTAGACCAGACACCTGGTGGGGTCCTTGTTACTGCATCAGGGATAAGATGGACAGTGGGCAGCTTCCAATGCTGCTCAGAGTCTAAGTTCACCCTCGGAAGGTGCTCATTGTTGACGACGGAGGACTGGCCCTTGTTAAACTTTGTCCGGAGGCGAGAGGTGGGCTTCTCTTTGGATGGCAGCTAGGTGGCGGGAGGGCGAGAGGGGGAGGCACTTGGATCTTCCCGGAGCCTGTTTTCTCTGAGCTCTTTTCATTGCTGCTTCTTCCTGTCCCACACTGGGCGTGTAGGAGCCGGAGCAGACTTCGTCATGCTCGGAGGCATGTTCTCGGGCCATGCCGAGTGTGCCGGGGAGCTGATCGAGAGGGACGGGCAGAAGCTCAAGCTCTTCTACGGGATGAGCTCTGAAACAGCCATGAAGAAACACGCAGGAGGGGTGGCCGAGTACAGGTAAGGCTTCTCACCAGCAAGGACTCGCATTTCTCCTGCTCCTCTCAGAAACGGGCGGAAGCAGGTCTCAAAGCACGTTGCTTCTCTTTATAGCAAAGCACCATGGGCAGGGGCTGCAAAACCTGTCTTGCTCTTTGTAAGTAGCCATATTTTTACCCAGCTAGTGTGCAGTGCTGGGGGCCCTCAGAAGGCAGTGATGGCAGAGCTGATTGGGGATGGGTTGGACATGGACTGGGGTGTGTGTGAGTAGGGAGGGCTCCTGCTCACCAGTCCCCGAGGTGACACTCCAGACTTCCTTGTGGTAGAGCCTCTGCTGACCTCTCCCAGTGACCTATGACCTCTAGCCCGGTATGTGTTCAGGCTGCGAGAATTGGGTTGAAGAAGGGTCTTCATTGCGTATGAAACAGGTATGGTTCTGGACCATCATGTGGTGCTCGGCTTTCTTGAAGAATGCCATGTTTCGCCCACGGGCCTCACACAGCACCTGTTGGCTCTGACCATTGAAACAGGCATTTTCTTTAGCCACGTCATTGCCCCTCATTGTAGACGGGATGCTACATCTGCATTCCTTCTTTTTTTTAAATCCATGATCCTGAAAGATAACCTGGCCTTTAGTTCACTTCCATCTGTTATTGTTTTACCTTTAAGTTAGGTTTATTGGGGCGACAGTGGTTAAAATCACTTCCTTTTTATTGCTTGCATGTGTGTTTATATGACGATATATCTATGATCTTGCCCTGCTCCAGAGAGGCTGCTGTTGCCCTTATTGGGGTTGGTGCTGATGACAGGGCACACGGAGGGGCAGGACGGAGGTCCTTAGACTCAGGAGAAAGTTCCCTGTGGGAGGCCAACTGTCTTTCCCCAGAAGCCTCAGCACTGGGATGGAACCCAAGCCCTCTGTGTCCTACCATTCCTACCCTCCATGTCCTACCCTCCATGTCCCACCATTCCTTCCACACTAACCGCTTATTGTAAGGACATGGGATCCAGGTGCATTACATAACGTTCAAACCAATCCAGTGGTGAAACATCAGTACTCCCAGAGATTTGCAGTGGGCGGGCAGGTGGGCAGGCGGGGGGCAGTGTAGGGCATCACCTCTCAAGCTCTTCCTTCTGTAGGGAACCGGGGACTTCCATCCTCTCTCTGCCCGTTTTCTCTTTTGGGGGGACCTCAATAAATAGAACATTATAGAATGGGGAAGGCGGGGTGGGAAAGAGGAGTAGGGGACTGACTGCCTATGTCCGATGATCAGAGCAAGGGCACACTCCTTCCCCTGCAGCCTGAGGACGGCCATCCCGTGTGGTGACTACTGGAGGAGGGGGGACCTCTGGCCAAGCTCCCCGCTTTCCCAGCAGCCACTGTCACATCCCAGGTGGGCGGGGCCTCCTGGGCACTGGGGTGTGAGGGGAGCCATGGGGGGCGGCAGCTGGCCACTTTGCCTGGAGTACACTGTTTGCCCTGTAGCTGTCGCATCTGTTTCGGGGTCTAAGAAAAGCAGACAGGGAAGGCCCACGAGGCTCCAGCATGGACAGAAGCCAAGGGGCCAAAAGAAAAGTCATCTCCTGTCACGTCAGCAGGGTCCAGACACAACAGGAGATAAAATATTCAGGAGCAGCAAGACTCTTATCTGAAAGTGTATTCGAACCTTAGATAAGAAAGAGACACCCTTGGAGGATTCAGGACTTTGACCCAAAAAGCAGCCTGAGCCCTGCAGGATGTATCTGTTCTCCATCTTCCTTTTCCTCCCTTCCTCCCTTCCACCTTTCCCTCTCTTTTCCGGGGCATTTGCAGCCTCATCACCATTGTCTCCTCATGAGAATGGTTCTCCTCATTGACATTATATTTAATTAAGACCCCGTTATGTATGCTCTCCTAGTTCCTTCCCAGTCATTAACCATTTATTCAGTCCTCACACTGTCCATCCTTAGGAGAACAAAGCACCATTGTTTTACAGATGAGAAGAATTGAGCAGCAGCAGTAAAGGACTTGCAAAAGGTGCTGTCAGCAGTTAGCAGAGAACCAGGATGAGAATCTGGGTGATTTCCAGGAAGCCCCCGGAAGGCCTGGGCCTCAGAAAATGAAAGGGCAGGCATGGCAGGCACGCGTGCAAGGACGCTGGTCTCTGGTCACAGAGAGCAGTGACCTGAGTCTCCCGCTTCCTGGTATCAGTGCCCTAAGCCAGCCGCTAGGCCAGCCCGTGGTCTAGTCATGGTCTACACAGACTTCACCCAAGGGCAGTCTTGCATGTGTAGGTTTCAGTGTACAAGAGTTTTTCCCTTTTGAAATTTCAGGTACTATGTTTCTAATCAAGAGGTAGTATTTTAATAGTTGAAGAGAGACCAGCTAGAGAAAGTTCCAGTAACAATTTGGTAATTGTTAAAATTTCCAGATTGGCCCTTAGGTGGGGCTAGAGTTCTGTATAGATTGGGGGTCTCCTTTTTTGCGCAGTCTCTCCAAAAGTGGGTCTGGACCGTGTCCCCATTTGGCAGGAAGGGACCTGACGTGTGGAGTCAGTGTCACTGGAGGCTTTGTGAGGAAGGGCCAACTCAGTAAGGACAGGTTTTGGGTTTGCACGTTACACTGGACCGGAGTTTCTGAATGCTCCTCCAGAAACAGGAAGATGCTAACCTAAGCCCTCAAGGCTCGGTGCTAAAAAAGTCCCAAGTTCTACTCTGGTTCCACCTTGCTGGGACCTTACCCCACACCCAGCACCGCAGGTGTATGACTTGAATGAGCGTGGGAGTGAGCTGGGGGAATGTGCCCCACAGCGCCCTGCCCTTTGGGAAGGCAGGCCTTTGGAGGGGTCAGGGCATCTTGCTGGTGGAGGTGCCTACATAACCTGCTGGGTGAGAGTGTGAATTTCATTGGCAGCCTCCTCCTCCTCCTCCTCCTCCTCCTCCTCCTCCTCCTCCTCCTTCTCCTCCTCCTCCTCTTTCTCCTCCTCCTCCTCCTCCTCTTTCTCCTCCTCCTCCTCCTCCTCTTCCTCCTCCTCCTCTTTCTCCTCCTCCTCCTCTTCCTCCTCCTTCTCCTCCTCCCTTACTCCTTGGGAGATGCTCAGGTGAAGCTCCAGGGTCTTCTGTTGTTGATCAGGGAGGGGAGAAGAAGGGGCGGTGTCGGGTTGGCCTGGAGATAACCCCCACGTCTGCTCTCCTGCCCACAGTGGGAGACAGGAGCTCAGAAGGTGGGGAGAAAGGCGAAGTGAGTTTCCGTGGGGCAGAGGGGAGGCCCGCTGCTGAGAGGAATGCATTGAGCAGGTCCGGGTTGCTCACAGATGCTTCCCTGGTGCTCTGAGCAGCTGGCAGGAGGTCAGGCATTTCGGGTGGGAGGACCTGCTCATCTGAGATGCGGGCGGGGCCAGCCTGGTATTTGAGGCCTTGGGGGCGTGGGGTCAGGGGCCTTTGGCTACCAGAGGGCCCTGGGGCTGCTTCAGGGGCGAGAGCTGGGAGTAACTGGTCCCTAAGGAAGAAGAGATGGGGTAAAAGAGCACTTCCTTTTTCTCCCAGAGCGTCGGAGGGCAAGACGGTGGAAGTGCCTTACCGAGGAAACGTAGAACACACGATCCTGGATATCCTGGGGGGACTGAGGTCCACCTGCACCTACGTGGGGGCCGCCAAACTCAAAGAGCTCAGCAAGAGGACGACGTTCATCCGGGTGACCCAGCAGCACAACACAGTGTTCGGCTAGCCTGGGGCAGGTGCCGGCTAGAAGCTTCCACACGCTGCGTCCACATCCCCGACCATCTGAGCTTCGGGCTGCTCCCGAATGGCGGGACCTGCCGCCCCTCCTGCCGCCTGGAGGCACCGGGTCCCCTGGTGCCTGTGGTGGGGCAGGAGGCAGAGCACTGAGAGGGTCAGTGGTCGTTGCCAGCTGCCCGGAACTCATAACCTCATTGTGAAAACTAACACTCGTACCTTTTTCTTTGTTTTTTAAAAAGAAAATGGTTTCACTTGAATATACTGCTGGTTACCTTCAGACGTACCGAGTCCCGGAGTTTGCTTTTTCAGGAACCACGTTGTAGGGGGATCTGGGGGTTTCCCACCTCCTTCCCAGACATGCCAGCTGGTGGCTCTAAGTCCAGATACCTGGAAGGGGGAGGAGGAACAGTGAGGGTAACCAGTCTCCCCGCTCCGGCTTCCTTCCGTTTTCTGGAGACGAACCAAAGCACAGAAGGAGGGGAGAGGAGGCGCCGGCTCCCACAGCTCCTCTCAGAGGGCGGGGATGTGTGTCATCACTTTTGCTAGCTGAGTCTTTTGGGACCAGCTCCTCTGCCCCTGCCAGTTGGTGCTCCTTCTGGGACGCTGTCCCTGTCCCTTTCCTGGTTTGTCACTTAGCTTTGTTTCCTCCATCTCTTCCCCTTCCTTTCTGAGTCCCAACTTGCCTGGCTGGCCTCTCTCTCTTCAAGAGATTATACATTACTTTGAAATTCCACACCATATTTTACTGAAAGGTTATTCACCCAAAAATTAGCAGGTAGAGTCCCATTGAAAAAACAAAAACAAAAACAAAAAACCAGCAAACAACTTGACATGTGGCTTCCTAAAAGCATTTGTTTAAAACATGAGTTAGACCCATCCCCTCATGGTGATTATGCTGTGAAGGAAGGACCACCGGTGTTCCTGGATAATGACCAACTCACCGGAGCATCGGTGCTTTCCTGGAGAGAGGACCCGGGCCTGGCAGGAGCCCTGCAGCTGGCCGCGGTGGTGCTGTGTCCGCTGTGTCCATGGTGAATGTGGGCATTGGTGACGGCTGGCTGCTTTCTGAAGCATTACTTGAGGGATAGGACTGGAGGGTGTGTGCAGACCAGGTGTTACTTATAAAGAAGCAGACACAGGAGTAAACTTTTCCCTGAAAAGGCAGCAATGGCCCTAGAGTAAGGAGGACAACTGTAGGAGGGCAACCACCAAATCGCACACAGAGTTCCGTTTTCAGTCTTACCAGAATACCATCAAAGACCCGCAACTTTAACTCCACTGGAATACCTTTCCCCCACACTCCTGGGGATCGATGCTTGTGCTGGTGGAAATGTGGATGGCTACACTTTGGAGATGTGGGGGTCAAGGAGGTGTAGTCAGAGCAAGATGTGGGGCTGTGCTGGAGGCACCCCGCCTTTTCTGCCTGCTGAGCAGGAGGGGTGAGCCCCAGGCTGTCCTGTGGAAGATGTGCTTGACACTCCTCTTTATTGTTTCTTTATGCAAAACTAGGGGCCCAGTGCATGAATTCATGCAGCTTAAAAGGAACTGTGGCCACAAGGTTGTGGTGGGCACAGGGACGGGTCTCGGCTCATCCTCCGAACCCCTGCCCGGCTCCTCCCACCATGGCTCCCAGTCTCTTGTCTGCCAGTAGCCCTGCTCCTGCCGCTGCCGCTCCCACATACTGATGGCCCTGGGCACACCCGCTGACAGCATGGAGCAATTGGGGCCGGTGCCAGCAGTGGGTGCCAGCAATTGCTGTTGCCCCAATCACCCCTCAGAAACAGGGGGAGGTGGAGAAGCCCTGAGGGGCAATCGGGGCTGGCAGCGGGTGACCAGCAGCAGGTACAAGCACCTAGTGGAACCACGGCATGTGGGAGCAAAGAATTTTCAGTAACCACCAGAGGCTCACCCCAATGACGGCAACTGGCACCCCGCCTTGGTCTGGAGCCCCCATTCACCTTCTCCAACATCCCACCACAGCCTATGCCCGCCATGTTCTGCATGCACCCCCTGATGGTCAGCACACATCATAGTGACCAGTTGTTCAGCCATTTGGTCTCTTTGCATATTAGGGTTTTATATATAGATAGATGAGGGAGAGAGGTGAAGCAAAGGAGGTCCTCAGGAGATCCACTTAAGATGTCCCAGCAGTAGTCAGTGGGAAGAGACTGTTACCAGTGTCTGCTCTTGGACTGGGCTCCTTCTGGGCCCCCCTCAGAGTGTCCAGGGCGGGGACACCCATCACCTGATGGCCCCTGTGGGCAGCCCTCTGCTGGATGTCTGCTCATGCTACCTGTGTCGTGCAGCCTGCAGAGTGGCTCTTTCATTGCACCAACCAACTGAAGGCAGGTCCCTCGCTCAGGTTTTTATGGATGTGAAAACTGACTTACAGGAAAAGCCACACACTCTGCTGGGTCATCTGGAAGCAGAGGCTGCACAATTTGCAGTGACTCTAAGGCACCCACTTGGTAGCCAGTTCATCTCTGCCTCCAACAGGAGTAGGGGGAGGGGAGCCGCCCACAGCCCAGGTGCATGTGGGACACAGATGGAAGCAGCCCTGTTGCCTGAGTGCAGGCCTCTGGGCAGCGGTAACTGGGTTACGAGGGAAAGAGCCGGGAAACTGGGTGCCGTCCTGTCCGTCTCGGGGTCCCGCTGTGTGCTTAACGGTGGCCAGGCCTCCCCACTGCAGTGGGGAAGCAAAGGCTTTTCTTAATCAGAGAGATCAGTCCAGGTAAGACTCACAGCCATCAGACCCCAAACTTGTCAGAGCCATTAGCATCTACCATTAAAACAGGGCAGGCAGCTGAAACTGGTTTGGCTCAGTGGATAGAGCGTCAGCCTGCGGACTGAAAGATCCCAGGTTCGATTCCGTACCTTGGTTGCAGGCACATCCCCAGTGGGGAGTGTGCAGGAGGCAGCTGGTCGATGTTTCTCTCTCATTGATGTTTCTAACTCTCTCTCTCTCTTCCTCTCTGTAAAAAATCAATAAAATATGTTAAAAAAATAAAACAGGGCAGGCAACGGTTCAGACTGCTGCCCCTCATGTGCTCCAGCGCACAGCACGGCCACCCAAACTGCTCTGGAGGAGGAGGGACCTGGCAGCGCTTCCTGTCAGGCTGCGAGGCTCACCCCCTCACTGTCGGCTCAGTGCATGTTCTGCCACACCCCGACATACACAATGCATTGGCCTCCCGTGAGTCCCGAGAGTACATCCTAGTGAGATGTCCCCAAACACCTAACCAGGAAGATAGCAGAGTTGCCCTCCCTCCCTGGGCTCCCTGGACCCCGAGTTCTCCTCCACCTCTGCAGGGCCTCCCAGCTGGGAGGTTGTCGTCACGCAAGCAGCTGGCAAAGGTCACTGAAAGTCACCGCTCCTTGAGGACCCACTTTCTGGGGCAACAGCTTAAGACAAACAAGTGACCTCCCTGTCCCACCCCCCAACTACCACATGTTGCATTTCTAACAGGCATAACTACAGGAAACATTTTAACTACAGTGACCTGTGCCTTCAGTTTACAGCGAAACTGTACAGAATGTGTCCATGATGCTACGTGAGCACACCAAGCTGCCAAAAGCTGTTTAGAAACAATTCTCTCTTGTAAACAGTGGAATTCAGACAGGAGCAATAAACAGGAACGGAACAAGGCACAGCATCAGATGTGGAAGTGTGCCTTTTATCCCAGAAACTCATCACGACCTCTCCTCCCCACACCCTCAGTACAGGAAATGCCCATGTCACCCCCTCCCCCTACTCCCATAGGTAAGGGAGGAGGAATTCCCAGTTGCCTCCGCCTCCACGTTCCTCCAGGACCTGACACAAGGCAAGGACACGTTTGCAATTGGCACTGTTATTTTTATTAGTACGAGTATACTGAAACAATAAACTTGTACTGGTATACAGACAATTTATTTAAAACAATTTTGTTCAAATTTTGAATCAAACATTGTTTTATTATAATAATGAAATAATTTCTACCTAGAAAACCTGCAAGCACCATCAAAGAAAGGGACCATAAAATTCAATAAACAGACTCGAGTGTATCCTACAAATAGACACACCACGATTAGAAAATAGAATATGAATTCTTCCATTTTTTTTTAATATTTGTTTTAAAAAAGCTAGTGCAAGTACAATATTTTACACTGGAATTACAGAGAGTATGCACGCATATGGAAAAAAGTTCTCCTGTCACAATAAAAGCTCTTAACTATGTATGCACGTAATATTTTCTTTTCGATAAGGTGCAAATCATCACTCCTTCCCTAGTTTTCCTCTGTACTGGCCATGTCAGTCTGATAGTGCCCACCGTTCTGGCGTCTCCTTTCCCTTGGCCGGTGGGAGGAATACGGCTGGAAGTTTGATCAGATAGTAACACATCCAGAGGGACGGATCTCAGAGATGGCTCTGGGCCGGGACCCCACTGGCTAGAAGTGAGGACGCTGTGGTCACTGAAGGCCGCCACGGAGACCGGGACTGTCCTGAAACCTCCCGTCAGCTGACACTGATTTGGATCTACAGGTGAGCAGTGGTGGCCGGGGATGAGGAAACCTTCCCCCAAGGCCGAAAGGGCAGTATGCACAGAACCCAACGCACAGGGGTCACGTCAAATGGTCACGGACTGAACAGTCTGTCCCACTCCTGGGCCAAACCATACCTTAAGAGCAGGTGGTTCATGTGAGAACCAGAGGAAACCTACACACCTGGCTGCTTGGTACCTGCTTTTTAAAAGACAATAGCTCCAAGGTAGCGTCGTCTCAGCCCTGATAGTCCAGAGAACAGTCTCAGCGAAGATGACTGTAAACAATGCTTCCTACCCAGGCCTTCAGACCGGCCATGGAAAAGGAGACAGGCTCATTGGCCATCCAGACAGTAAACGAACAAACTAAAGGGAAAGAAAACTTGGGCAAAGTCTCCAATTATCTGCAGTGGAAGACTCGAGTCCTTTCAGGTTAAGAAAAGTTACGGAAATTCTTAGAGACTGTTATTGT